GTCAAGTGGAATTGTGTTTTTCGGAACCCCAAAGAAAATGTCTCCCTCTTACATGCACCCCCGCCCTGATTAATCACGCATTCAGGCATAAACAATAACAGAGATGAAATTGTGTTGAGTTTATGGCTCTTGACGCACGTGCATTGACGTACAAGACTGATGAAAGCACAGGCACTTGGAACGTCTCAATAAAAGTAAATCTTCACACAATTTTTCACAATGATCGACCGCCTGCATGTGTGCAAAATAGGTGAACGTATGTGAAACATATACGGTTAGTACTTACTGTGACATATCCGTGACTAACTGACACCACTAAATTGGTAAAATGTTCCATGCACCTTAAGAAATGCTGAGAAATTACGAGGTTATCATAGCAGAACTACCGACACCGCCCATCCTGATGTCACAAAGCTATATGTAAACAAACACGCGTGTTGCGAGGTGCGTGCCTCCGATATCCATTTCGAGCCCCGCTAAGCCAAGCATAAAGCGCGCGGGCAAGACGTCACACACACAGCTACGTTCATTGGCTAAAACAATCGAGTAGCGCGATTAGGGATTTTCGGAATTATTTAATTTTAAGAAAAACTTAAAGGGAAAGTTTACTCAGGGTTCTAGGGTTATTTTCAGCTAATTTAGGTTATAATTACGCTACATAAAAAGTTTCATGGTTCAATCACCATTAGAAATTTTTTTTTTAAATGTTTTGAAACTAACGACTACAGTTTGATTACAACGACGGTGGCGCCACTCAATGCGCACGATCTGATAAGTTGCGCAAAACCACTTTCCAGACAAGGGCTACAGACCGAGGTTGTTTCTTATTTATTTATTTAAAAGCAAAAGGATTGTAATATCTTATAAACGACATATAGTTTCAGTTATAATATGGATAAACTTGCCCTAAAATGAATATCATTCGGTTAAATAACATTTAGGTATAAATATAATTGCACTTTTGTGATTAACCCTCGGTCTGTAACGTGCAAAATAAATTGTCAAATACGCAGCTTTTTCGGGGTGGCAGCACGGTCGCGGGTGTCATGGCGCCGTTCAAATTTCGTAGCGTTGATGTGTAATTAATTATAACAATTAAATTAGGTATCTGGTAACAAATACGTGTGGGTATAGAAGATTTGTTATACAGTAAGTACAGTTGTATGCAGTAAAATCCTAGAGGCTACTGTCCCTTTAAATGTTTAATGAATGAATGAGGGTAAAAATGCCTAATTTTTCCACTTCGGTGCGAAATGCATCGGCCGGGCCTTTCATTATTTACGAAAAGCAAACATTCTCGCCAAACACCTACACGCAGTAACAGGTCATGTCGTTGATGCCCCATTCATGCCCATGAACGAAGAAGGCGGCGCTTATTCTGATTACGGAAATGCGAAAATGCAACAGAAGGATCATAGCGCAGCGCCCTAAACAGCGTGTTATTTTCGTATTTGTGCCAAACTCTATTGTAGGAAACCGTTCTAGCCTAGCAGAATGCCCTAGTTCGTGAGATCAGCGATTTGGTGGTCCAATGGGTCCCCATATTTAAAAATATAAAACACTGGTGCGGCGTAGGCTGTGATTGGAAGACACAAAGTGTCACTAGCAGTATATAAGCAGGTATGGTTATTTTGGAGCGATAGTTGCAGCACTTTATAATATAAGTACATGGTTTCTCATTCTTGCATCGAGTACTTATCTTTATCGTCAATCATTGCCTTATTGTCCATCGTTGCTTTATCGTCAGTCGTTGCTTTATCGTCATTGTGTGCAAAATCGCCCATGCCTTAAAGAATGATCAGTGGTTGATATTTATTTTGTTAGGATTTGATGGGGGTGATGATGTCACACGTCGGAACGCTGACCAAGCGACAGAGCTCTTTAGCAAGGAGTGCTGCGAAAGGAAAGCCTACAGTGGCTGATATGTTCAAACTTCAGCTGAACTCGCTGGTAGAATCTCTCAAGCAGACAAACCCTTGGTAAGTCTGGAAGTATAAGCGCACCTGACAGCATGAGCGTGTGAGAGAGAGTGAAAGTCAAAGGATGCGTGCAGAAGAGATGACAGGAGTTAAAATTCGAGGAACATGTGTGTCAAGCTATTATTGACGGAATTTAAATTTATGCATGCATATATATATAGGTCTATAGATAGATATAACTACAGAAGCCCACATAAATCTGAAACATTCAGCAGTTGATGTTATAATCTAATAGTGTTATTTAACATTTAACAAATTTGAATTTGCTTGTCCATGTTCATGCAATGCTCATAATTATGTACGATTTATATGTGCTTAGGTATGTTCGATGTGTGAAACCAAATGAAAAGAAGGTTGGGGACAACTACGACGATGACTTTGTGTTGCGGCAGTTGCGATACACAGGCATGATGGACATTGTGCGCATACGCAAACAGGTAAGCTGCTTAATACGCTAAAGTGTAACCAAAAGCAACACTAAACATCCTCGTAAACCCAAAGTGTATTGAGACCTTAAGTCAATATCTTGCCTTAATATTTATATATATAGTACTAACAGTTTTATGAACAATTAAGTTCGAGTGCAGTACAACATAGTAAGAAGTAATAGTATGCACACTCAAGCAGCACAACACTGTAGGGTACGTATATAAAATACAGATTAATTGACTATATATCAGATAAAACGGACTTTCGGATAATCAAAGGTCTGATACTAGAGACTGTTTTATTTGTGTGCTATGATAACATTGTATTCCTGCAGGGCTTTCCCATACACGTCTCGTACGATGAGTTCCTTGTGAAGTATCATATGCTTAATAAGTCGAGCATAAGTGGCTCGCAATCACTTGATGATCGTGATGCTGTCACTGCCATTCTGGAAAAATTCAACCTCGCAAAAACAGAATGGCAACTTGGGAAAACGAAGGTATGAGTTGTTTAAACTTTTCACATTTAATTTGCATATTTGGCATGTCATCATTCTCTAGGCTAAGCTCAACTACGTTTCTTTCGTAAATTTTCACCTGGTGAGTGGTAGCAGTTTCGCCATACATATAGAGACGTTACTACATCAGCGTGCCCACTACATGAGTACATATTATGATATACTGCACGGGTTCAGTATCTCTTTCTATAAACTGGTTTGTTGCATCATGATGATAATACATTTGCAAGGGCATACACATGTACATGCATACACATTGAATAGTCTTCTAATCTTGCTTAAAAATGTTTAGACCCAGTTCCTACATACTAAAATAAATTCTTGCCTTCCTCTGATATAGGTGTTTCTGAGGCACCAGGCGAATGAACCTCTTGAGGATGCTAGGCAGGACATGGTACACTTGGCTGCAATCAGCATCCAGAAGTTGTGGCAGGGATTCAATTGCAGACGAGGTGATAATCATACAATCAAGTAATACACGTTGATGGCCGAACCTGATGCTTCTGGTCCTCAACGTGTCTTGCAAAAGTTAGTCCTACGCAGCATGCAGGCAGATGTGGTTGTTCCGCGTACAGTACTAAATTGACCTGCCAACCTTGGAATGTGTTGATCTGCGTTATATTCTGTTTTCCTAGATCATATGTAGCAAATGTCTGGACTCATAGAGACGTGAATGCACCGCGATAACAACAAATTTCAAAACGCTTGAACGGACACGCATCTTAACTATGATTCTCCTAAAGTATCGTAATTCTGTTAAATATGAGAATTAATTCGTGCAGTTACAGCTTGAAGGGATACTAGACTCTAGGATTTTACTGCATACAACTGTACTTACTGTATAACAAATCGTCTATACCCACACGTACTTGTTACCAGATACCTAATTTAATTGTTATAATTAATTATACATCAACACTACAAAATTCATTTGAACGGCGCCATTGACACCCGCGGCCGTGCTGCCACCCTGAAAAAGTTGCACATTTCACAATATATTTTGCACGTTACAGACCGAGGGCTAATCACAAAGGTGCAATTATATTTATACCTAAATGCTATTTAACCCAACGGAGCATGTTCATTTTAGGACAAATTTATCCATAATATAACTGAAACTATATGTCGTTTATAAGGTATTACAATCCTTTTGCTTTTAAATTAATAAATAAGAAACACCCTCGGTCTGTAGCCCTTGGCTGAAAAGTTGTTTTGCGCAACTTTTCAGATTGTGCGCTTTGAGTGGTGCCACCGTCGTTGTAATCAAATTGTAGTCGTTGGTTTTAAAACATTAAAAAAAATATTTCTAATGGTGATTGAACCATGAAACTTTTTATGTAGCATAATTTTAACCTAAATTAACTGAAAATAACCCTAGAACCTATAGAGTAAAGGATCCCTTTAACCGCATGTGTTATATTCTGGTAGATTATCGCAAGAAGAAGGCAGCATGTATCATGGTTCAGCAGGCCTTCAGAGCCAAGCGACAGAGAATGACATTCTTGCGCACTGTTCGAGCTGTTGTCACCATACAGGTCAGTCCCTTTAAAGCATGCAGCACACTTCACCATTTTCGTTGCTCGTACAGGCAATTTTCGTGGTCGGCAATTTTTGTGGCCTTTGCCGCGTCACAGCACACGTTACCACTGAGTGGTGATGTGTGCTGTTGACGGCAATTTTTGTTGCCAGATGTTGTAGCTTTCACTCATTCATATACAGTTATCAAATAAAGGAAATATATAAATTTTATCAACATTTCTGTTACTTAGGCCTAGGGGCCCTATATTTGTATATTTGTATTTTTGTATATTTGTATATTTGTATATTTGTAATATATAAATTTTATCAACATTTCTGTTACTTAGGCCTAGGGGACCTATATTTGTATATTTGTATTTTTGTATGTTTGTATATTTGTATATTTGTATTTGGCCCATTTTGAAATCATGTGACGGCAGCGCTAATTTTGATTGGTCTGCGAGTGATTTTGTTGCCGATTGCCGTGGTGGACGCACACTTCACCACAATTTGCCACCACGAGCAATTTTCGTGGTGAGAAATCAAACCGGTTTGATTCTCGGCAACTCGTGGTCACCACTAAATTTCTGTGGTGAGTGGTCGTTGCCGGCCCCCGCACACTTGGCCATTTTTGTGGCGACCACGAAAATTGCCTGTACGAGCAACGAAAATGGTGAAGTGCATGTGCTGCCAGATTTACTGTAGTTTGTTCATTGTCACCAAACATCATGTAATTATACAGTTCTTTTAATCTGTTTGCAAGCAGTCTTACTGTGTGTATGGAGTATTGTTTTTGACGCTGCATTTTTCATACCATATCAGTGTACGCCTACACATAAGCATTGTAATACGACGTCCTTTTTTGTGCGAGTACTATATACCATCAACTGAAACAAATAACCACTTTATCCTGAGCAGTCTGTCACACGCATACCAGTTTTGTAGTCGAGTTCGCACCCCCCCCCAAAGGTTCCTGATACCATCCCTGTGCATTCCACTGTTTCGGCGTGTATGTGAACACATTTGGGACTAACAGGGTTTACTAGAATCCCACCACTCCATCACAGAGTCACCGCAGTAGACGTTAGATGAGCGCTGTCGCTCCGCGGCACTTGTTGGTGGTCTATTATGCAGAGCTTCCAATTGAAATGGCCCATGAAATTGTCAAGTGGAATTGTGTTTTTCGGAACCCCCAAAAAAATATCTCCCTCTTACATGCACCCCCTCTCTGATCAATCACGCATTCAGGCGTAAACAATAACAGAGATGAAATTGTGTTGAGTTTATGGCTCTTTACGCACGTGCATTGACGTACAAGACTGATGAAAGCACAGGCACTTGGAATGTCTCAATAAAAATAAATCTTCACACCATTTTTCACAATGAACGACCGACCGCCTGTGTGAAAAATAGGTGAACGTATGTGAAACATATACGGTTAGTACTTATACTGTGACATATCCGTGACTAACTGACACCACTAAATTGGTAAAATGTTCCATGCACCTTAAGAAATGCTGAGAAATTACGAGGTTATCATCGCAGAACTCCCGACACCGCCCATCCTGATGTCACAAAGCTATATGTAAACAAACATGCGTGTTGCGAGGTGCGTGCCTCCGATATCCATTTCGAGGCCCGCTAAGCCAAGCATAAAGCGCGCGGGCAAGACGTCACACACATAGCTACGTTCATTGGCTAAAACAATCGAGTAGCGCGGTTAGGGATTTTCGGAATTATTTAATTTTAAGAAAAACTTAAATGTTCAATGAATGAATGAGGGTAAAAATGCCTAATTTTTCCACTTCGGTGCGAAATGCATCGGCCGGGCCTTTCATTATTTACGAAAAGCAAACAGTCTCGTCAAACACCTACACGCAGTAACAGGTCACGTCATTGATGCCCCATTTATGCCCATCAACGAAGAAGGCGGGGCTTATTCTGATTACGGAAATGCGAAAATGCAACAGAAGGACGTAGCGCAGTGCCCTAAACAGCGTGTTATTTTCGTATTTGTGCCAAACTCTATCGTAGGAAACCGTTCTAGCCTAGCAGAATGCCCTAGTTCCTGAGATCGGCGATTTGGTGGTCCAATGGGTCCCCATATTTAAAAATATAAAACACTGGTGCGGCGTAGGCTGTGATTGGAAGACACAAAGTATCACTAGCTGTATATAAGCAGGTATGGTTATTTTGGAGCGATAGACACGAAGTATTTGCTAGTCTAGTACTGGAGAAATTAGCGTTTGGATGCGCATTGTGAGCCTTTAATGCTCTGTTAATCTTTTATAAATGTCCAGGTGAAAGCTCGGGTGTTGTAAATTTAGAATCGATATCATGAGGATTTTGCTAGGCCTGCATTACCTGGCAAAAAAGTGGGCGTGGAGAAGATGACAATATGCTTGATGATTTCAGAGCCATGGAAGCAGAGGTTGCAAGTATGGTTCAGTATGTTGGCGACATGAATAAAAATGTCCCCTGGGAGATGTCACCAGTTTTGTCACCAAAGTCCCTAAAACCTTCTGATTCTAGGTTTGCTGCTCTCCAAATTCTGTATTGGGGTCTGTGTTTTTCGAATGGTGGCGGACCGGCACACATGCTTAATTGCTTATTATATGTCCTAACCACATCAGTGTCTTGGGTCATTCTATTACCTATATTATATAGGTAGTATATTGTTTTGTGTGCACAACACTAACAATTGTATATATGCATGGGCATTGGTTGTGGTGTATACGTCGTAGTTGTTGCCTTGTTGGTGCTAAAGTAGGTGGTTGCCTTTTATGCATTCTGTGTGGTAAATTCTAATATAACTTAAGTTTAAGTTAATTTTGATTTAATTATTGGTTTAATTGACTAATTTGTATAATATTTCTCCTCAATATATAGATGCTATATATATATTGCAATTAAAATATGTGATATATATAGTATATAATATAAATAATATCAAGAGCATATCTTATTCTTATATGCATTTTATATGCTAATAATAATATATATTATAATGTATAATGGTTTCATGATGACCTTTCGTGCTATTTGCTATAAACATTTAGTGTACGTTTCTGTTTGCACAATAGTTTATATATGTTTTGAATAATCGTTGTAATAGGCATAATTCCTGCAAGCACATCATACACACATGATCACATTCTTAATTTTTGCTGCCTATGTAAAGCTATACCTTACCATGTGTATATGTCTCCGTGCAAAATTTCTGCAGTGTTCTGTTTTCTTGTGTGCTACTGCTGACAAGCACTGCTTACTCTATGCAGGCTAGTTCAGGATCAGTTGTCAGCCATGGTGCAGGTTACGGAAGAACTAACGAGCAAGTTCACGCAGGATACGGCATCTCACGTCACGAGCCTTGACGAAATGTTCAGGTTCCTGGGAGCTGAGAGTGATGACACGATGGAGATGAGCTGTAAGTAATGGCTTCAGTAGAATGGCTTCTTTGATCGAGTGTCGAGATGCCATTTCACTTGCTAAATGATTTACATGCAGCTCTAGCGGTTCAGTATTGCGGTCGGACATTCTAGAAACAATGCCTAGCGGTAAAGTGCTGCAGATTCATGATTTGGTGTGGAAACATTCACATCCTCATACAAATTTGGGTAGGTGGGTAACCAAACCAGAGAGACACGTTATACAAGATTGCGTGGCACAGCTTTGCTGTTGATCCTGAGCGCTGCACGCGGATGAGACGCGCAGTTCCGCGGGATATGCGCACGCGACCGCGGGGATGTTCAAGTATGAAGCGCTGTCCGCAGTGGAGACGTGCGCCAAATTCGAGGCCCGGCGCACGTCACCACAGCGGTCAGCGGATGGCCTGTCGTTTTAGAAGATGACAATGATTATATATTGACGATATTCTAAGAA